TTTTAATTAACACGGGATCTTGCGTGGTCTCAGGGAGGGGGCCGGACACCGTATCAGTTTTGCTTGCGCTATCCACTCCTGTCCAAGGGATAGCTGGTTAAAAGGCAAACCCACCATAAATAGATGGACGATGTGTCCGGACACAGGGCTACTTACTTGAGTATCCGGGCAATTGCAGCTTAGGCCAGCATCCTCGGTCAAGTCCGGACGCATCTCTTGCAATCTGAAGAACAGTTTGTACATCTCCGCGGGTGTCAAACCCATGAAGTGTTGAAGAGCTCGTGGCCCCTCCGGATTAAATTCCCACAGGTGGAGGGGGCGACGTTTGCAGGGCAGTAGGCACCGGATCAGCATAACCTGTACCACTACGACCAGATTGATCTCCCTTTCTTGGAGACCTCGAATCCGGTCCTGCAACAGGGGTACGTCTTTGGACGGCCCCCAGTCACGCCCCTTGTTGACCCATGACGTCAACTGTTGTGGAGGGCCCGAGCGGAAGACGGGCGGCGGCCTCTGCCTGCTGCCCCTGGGAGCGGTGATATAGAACCACTCCTGTTGCCACAGGCCGAGCTCCTCCTGAAAAGAGCCCTCGGGCCATGGAGCATCGGCTCTCTTGCTTATAACTGCCCCGCCGCACTCTGCCTGACGCCCCTCAATCATCTTCGGCTCCACGTTGTAGGTTTTGAGCCACAAGCCTAAGTGAGGGGTAGTGCGGAGGAAGGCTTCACAGACGACAATGAATGATGAGATATGGAGGATGGACTCCGGAGCCAAGTCATGGAATTCCAGCCCATAGTCAAACATGAGCCCCCTCACGAAGGGATCCGTCGGGAAGCCTAAACCCCGACGGAGGTAAGACACGAACACGACGCTCTCACCAAGCTCGGGAGTCGGAATAACCTGCCCTCGGGCAGGCAGCCTATGCGAAATCTCGTAGGTTAAGTACCTGGCATCTCTCAGCTTTAGCACGTCCTCTTCCGTGACGGAGGAGGGCATCCACCGGCCTCGTAGGTCGGGGCCGGACATTGTCGAAGATCGAAGGTACCCGAATCTGGAGCCCTGGGTGTTGGAACTCGGGGCGAGGGGCGGATTCGATAGAGGATTGAAGGAAAAGAACGGGCCTTGGTCTCATTATAAAGAGGAAGAATACCAAGAGCCGTCCCCATGACCGTTTGGAACCCGCCTTCGATGGAGGGGGCGTGGCAACGGGCACGGTTGGGTTACCCACGTCCGTATTGATGGGAATCCCGAAATAAGGAGAACACGATCTCTGCTTCGACAACACGTGCCAAGGAAACCGCTTCGCTAAATGCGCTGAGGTGGTACAATAAAAACGATTCTAGTAAAGGCTTGGTAGAGGTGTGACGTCATGCCACAAAATACGTCAGCAGATTGAACTTGTGTGAATATTATTCTCTCTACGGTTATACGTGGAATTTATTTTTGCAGAGCCGGACACTATCCTGGTGTTCACAATCTTCTATAAATTATTCGGAGGAAGAACCCGCCTTGCAATGCCGAAGACAACATGCGCGCCGGACTCGTCATCATTGAAGCCTGGTTCATGGGCTACTGAGGGAGTTCCGGACTAGGGGGTGTTCGGATAGCCGAACTATCATCATCGGCCGGACTCCAAGACTATGAAGATACAAGATTGAAGACTTCGTCCCGTGTTCGGATGGGACTTTCCTTGGCGTGGAAGGCAAGCTTGGCGATATGGATATGTAGATCTCCTACCATTGTAACCGACTCTATGTAACCCTAGCCCTCTCCGGTGTCTATATAAACCGGATGGCTTTAGTCCATAGGACGAACAACAATCATACCATAGGCTAGCTTCTAGGGTTTAGCCTCCTTGATCTCGTGGTAGATCCACTCTTGTAACACACATCATCAATATTAATCAAGCAGGACGTAGGGTTTTACCTCCATCAAGAGGGCCCGAACCTGGGTAAAACATCGTGTCCCTTGTCTCCTGTTACCATCCGCCTAGACGCACAGTTCGGGACCCCCTACCCGAGATCCGCCGGTTTTGACACCGACACGGAGCATCCTACGATCATCCCCATGGACCTACCTATGTTTCCCCAAGTGCCAAGTGGACTGATGACATGAGCATGTGCAAGAGCTCTTGAGACCGAGGTGACACCTTTCCTTAGCGACATTCCGTATGAACCACGTGAGACATGGTTGCTACCTCAACCCGGAATGCTATGTGTGCTTAGGTACCAAGAAGATCCTCTCGGAGATGCTTGGAATGGTGGACAAGTCCACAAGTGCAAGTACGACGACACACAAGAAGGAGGACCGTCGAGATGCTACAGGACCTAAACATCCGGCCCCAGGAGACTTCAACCATAGCAGCAACCCATACGCCAAACATCTACAGGCATCGGACATCTGGCCCGATGCTCGGGAATCCGGCCCCCTCTATCCAGAGAGCGTCTGGAAATGGCCGAAGCCGGCCCGGACATCCGGCCTTGTCTGCGCATAATAAACGTGATGAAGGCCCATGTACCCTCCAACTCGCTCCCAACTTGTACTAGCACTATATATAGACCTCTCCCCTCTCCATCTAGGGTCAACAAAGGATTAGCTCATTGAGATAGACCTTTGCTCATCCACTTACCCCTACTCCCATGGAGATCAAGGCCTCCATGTGAGAAGATCCCCCAAGTGGATTCAAGACCCCTTTCATGGGAAGATCGTCCTTCGATTCAATACATCTTTCCTCACGGATTGGGATGAACTAGCTACCGTTTGTATCCTCCCTTGTTAACTTCGGATCATGTATCTCTCCGTGTGTATGCGGATATAGCCCATGTGTGATTGTGTCTTGTCTATTTGAGTCATTTCCCTCTTGTGTTATTCGTGTTCTTCCCCGTCTTCCCCTCCAATCGTGAAAGATCGGCCCCACTCCACATCACTCATGGGCAGTATGGACGAAAAGAAATGCGCGCACTCATGGAGAATGTACCTGATCCATAGCACAGTATGTTAAATGGGCAGTTGATGTAGCAACAGATCTCTCGGGTACATGAAACCAACAAGCTGGCAAACCGATCAAGGAGCAACATAAGTGGAAACCCCGAGAGGAGAGCTTCATTAAAATTAACGTGGACACTGCCTTTTATGAAGATACTCATGAAGGGGGTACAGGTCTTGGTGTGTGTTCGGACCCATGAAGGGACTTTGATTAGAGCACAAGCCATTTAGTATGAAGCGAGTCTTAATGCAAAATCAATGAAAGCATATGCCATTAGAGATGGCATACAACTAGTTTCTGATATAGGTATCAAAGAGTTATAATTGAAGCAGATGCCGAATAGGTTGTTAAACGCTGCAATTCTCCTGGTGTAGACCGGTCGGAAATAGTTGCCATTGTCAGCAATATTCAAAAGCTTTGCGAAAACTTTGAGGAACTTTGTTTGGCCTTCACAACAAAAGAAACAAAAGCTCATCTTTGCGCTAAACATTGTAGTTCCTTTGGGAGAAGATGTCTTTGGATAAACTATATTTCATCCTTCCTTATGAGTTGTGTATTAAAAGAATGTAATTCCGTTAACTAATCAATAAAGCTCTTGATTCCAACTTTTTTGCTATGGTAAAAAATCTGACATTAGATCCGTAGAGAAATCCAAAGAAAATATAAATACAATATACTACTCCCTCTGTTCCAAAATATAGCGCGTCCACGCTTTTCGAGGTTCAACTTTGACCATAAATTTAACCCACGAGACCGACTGCGGCGGGATCAAAAATTATATAATTAAAAACTTTTTTTGAATACGAATTCATTGGTATAATTTTTTCGCCCGCCGCAGTCGGTCTTGTTGATTAAATTAATGGTCAAAGTTGAAGCACGGAAACCGAGGACGCGCTATATTTTGGAACGGAGGGAGTAGTACCAACAACAGCATGCCAGTTTTCTCTCAAAAAAGAACCATCAGCTTGCCAATTATTGTTATCTCGAGAGTCCAGAATCATCAACCAGCTCAGTCCGTCCGCTGTGATTGCTCAAGAGAAAAAGTATCATTTCGCCTACATGATCCGCCCCCAAAACGTCCCTCCATTAGAATAAAACCAGGAGCCAAGCTAATTGCACACGCAATCCATATCTGCCGCTACTTGCAACATCGAAACGAGGCTCATTTGGCATTACCGCTACTTTTCGTAAATATTTTTTTATTTCTGTTATCAGAGAATATAGGTACCAATTGGCTTGAAGCTCTTCTTTTGCTGGCACAGCAACTTTTTACTGCTATACCTCGTCTGAAAGAAGCTTTTTACTACCTCAGGAAAAAACCTATTTAGACTAGCCACAGTGGGAGTAACTTCAGCAGTAACATCGAGTCCAACTCAGTAAATTTACTTATGTGACAGTGAGTTAATGAGGAGAGAGATAGTTATAGTAACTTAGTTAGTCACTGTAACATCACATGTTTCAATGCAATATGAGTCTATAACCTAATAAATGAAGCTTTGCATGTTACCACACTCATGTTACTACCCACTATGAAGGTAGTAACATAGTCTAGAAATATGTGTATGTTACTAGTATATGTTACTACCCATTGTGGCTAGTCTTACTGCTAGTGCGGGTTACAGCTTACAGGTGTCGTCATCCGTGTGGTGTGTCAGAAAAGAGTACAGTCGGTGCGGCCTTGCGATTGCAGCCGTTGATGTGCCGCCAAGGTCGTCAGCACCCACCGGCGCGACCCCGGAACACACGACGGGACAAGTGCGAGGGACGCTAGCCTAGATGACGTACTGGAAGTGGGACGTTTCCCGCACAAGAAAACAAGGGTGTGTCCCTCCCGTCGCCCAAGTGGGCGCACAAAAAGAAATCTCACGTCCCACTCACCATCTACGCGGCTGGCCACCACGACGGCCCCTCCCTCCCTTTTTCTCTCCCACCCCCGACTGCCTACCAACACCAAACCGCAGCACACAGCGCCACCGCGACTGCGCCACTCCTTGCGTTCCGAGTGACAGAGGCCATGGCGCTCGCCACCTCCCACCACCGCCACCTCGTCCGCCCCGCCGCCGCGGCCCCTCGCGTGCCGCTGCGTCCCCTCCGCTTCGCCGCCCCCCGATCTCTCCCGAGGTGAGCGATCTGAGCCGCCCTCAGCGCGCTCGGTTTTTCCCGATTCTGAACCCGGTCCTGTGATGTGATCCCTGTCCCTCCTACTGTGTACTGTGCCTCGCCGCGCCTCGCTAGCTGTTGTTGGATTGGTTCGAGTCTAGGACGATCGGGGTGGCGCTTTCTGAATGAGAGCGGAGCCAGTGCTGCCTTCGATCAGTTTGGGGCTTGGAACGGGATCACTCGATTGATCCCGTTTCGTCGCTGCGGTTCCACTTTCCCCACTGGGTTGAATAATGGGACGTATATTGTTGAAAGGTGAACCATGATGTGTCGTTTAGCGTTTCGGTTCTGCGAACTAGTCATCTGCTCGGTAGATTAGCTTAGCTCGGGGAAATCCTATGGGAGGAATAGATGCTACCGTTGACTTCACGATGTGTTGCTCGGTTGTTCACGGCCTTCCTAGATGAGTATGCATTCTATCTCAGAGGCCATAAATCCATGATTATCCTATAACTTTGAGACTTAGATTGGATATGATTGTGATGTGCTCTCTATTGTTATGTCTGACAAAGAATAGTTCCAACTATTCCTGTTCAAATGTTGAGGCCTGTAAGCCTGTTACATATTTGCATTCGTTTGCACTGAATTCGGTGCATGGATGTGGAAATATGACGTGTCAAATTTGAAGTTGTAGTAACCATTTTGTTAGGAGCAGTAGAATGAACGCAATTAAGAAGGAAATTTTATGCATAGAATAGAATTGCAGCTTTCATCCGAATTGGACCAGCAGAAAGTAAAAAATGCACTTTGGTTTCTTTCTTGTAAGATGTAAACGGATAAATGACAAGTGAGGACCAATTTTCCTGCACAACGGATTTCCGATTGCTCTGTCTGTTTTCTCTCAAAAGGCTATATCTTCATTTTAAGATACGATGTGCAAAGCCCAGTTGTGCTCAGTTCATATTTGTGCTGGAAGAAGTGCCAAACAAGGACGTGGTGCATCTACAGACCGGGAGTGCAGCTGCAGCGCAAGGTTCCTGACTTCTTTCGCTCCTGCCAGTCTCCAGACTCCAGGGAGCTGCCTCGTTAAGAATCGAATCCACCAGGTCCTGACAGGACTAGTGCACCATTGAAAACACATGAATTCTAGCTGTGTTCATATGTGAACCTACATAATGATAACTATATTTTGAGTAAAATTTTGTGCTTATAACCAGGAAATCTGTAAAGGGTAGTGGCACAAGTCTTCTGCCTTCCGTGTTTTTAGATAAATCATGATACCGTTCTGAGTTTCTCATGCTTTAATTAATTGTCTGTATTGGCTGTGCTGCCAATGCCCTCTGCAGTATATCAGTGTTCTGTCCTACATTGTTTCCATGTGCTAATATTTTTTAAATTTTCCCATCCTTCTAGGATTTGTTGCCAATCTATCAACTCAGCTAACGTCTTGGGAGCTTCCTCAATGGTATATTTGCATGACTACATCTCTCAAATTACCACAACTTTGTGGAACATATGGACTGTGGCACTGCAGTATATTCTTCAGCCTTGCAAATTCGCATAAAAATGTGTCTAAGACTCGTATTCCTGAGCAATGAAATATTTCTGGAGAACTCAGACCACTTTCAGTTTTAGAAAATCTCAGTCTACCTATTAGGTCTCACTGTAAAATTTATTCTTCTGAGGGCTGACGTGAAGCAATATGGTCCTAGACATCAGGCGTCAAAGTAGTTCTGCTTATACCAAGAGTTGCTCATATTTCAACAATTCATTGTATGGATAGAGATGCCAACATTCTGATATACTCAAATTATTAGTTTTTTCTTTGGAAAGTGCTTTTTTTATTCTCGGCATTTTTGTTCTTCTTACATGCTGACATTCTATTATTTGAACACATACTCAACTGATGATTTCAAATGTGCATTTTTGAAAAACAAATCTATATCACAGACAGCTGACGACGCAGTTCCACAACCAGTTGTACTGATAGACCAAGACTCAGACCGTGATGCAACCATTGTGCAGCTGAGTTTTGGAGATCGTTTGGGGGCACTACTTGATACGGTATGCATTTTATTGTGCCGGGGATGCCGTTTTTTTGGTCTGGCCTTGCTTAGATATGCTTTAATGATTTATAAGTTACAGATTTTCTGTATCTATAAATTATTGCGTCGTGGTGTTCACTGTTTGCAGATGAAGGCACTCAAGGACCTGGGCCTTGATGTGACGAAAGGAAGTGTGGCAACTGATTCATCTGTCACACAAACAAAGTTCCACATCATGCGATTGTGGGTGCATGCAACTTTCTGTTTGCTGCAATTTCTTATACAGTGTTTAGTTATTTGTTTGCACTTCGAGAAGTAAAGGAGGGTATATGTATGCTTGATTCATCACTTTTGGATGCTACACTTTGTGCAACTGTGCAATATCCATATATTATTACTGATATTTTAGTTTAGCTGCCTTATGGTCTATTTTCTGTAATTACCATTGAACACATTGCACATGCATTCATCAAAGTACTGTTTCTCTCTTTTTTTTTCCTGGCTTAATGGAAGGATGTCTTGACACACTAAAATTTCAAAATATTCCTTAGAAATTGCACCTGTGATTATCATACTAAGACAGTTGTGATGATTTGGTCATGTTCTAATATTATTTATCTGTTTATACCATCTGTCTCTGTCCAGAGGGCGTAAGGTTGAGGACCCTGACATGTTGGAAACAATACGACTGACCATCATTAACAACCTTCTGCAGTATCATCCCGTATGTTTCAGAATTCAAGTTCTTCAGTTGTGTTTTACATTTTGGTGTTTGGTAGCTTTAGATTAGTTATCATTTTGCTTAATCGAAATATCAGAATAATATGCAATATGTGTATAGGAATCAAGCGAGAAGCTAGCTATGGGTGAATTTTTTGGAATTAAAGCCCCTGAGAAGAAGGTGAGTTCGGTAGATGTTCTCATCCTGCTAATTCAGCACTGATGCTGGTCCATGCTTTTGTTAGGCATATTTTCTTTTTAGGGATGGGTTTTCCTCGGTGTTTACACACTGGATATTTGAAAACAGACATCCAAGTGTTGTGCTGTTAATTTTAATTTTTCCCTATATCTTGAGCAATTAATTAATTTATGTTCTCTATGCAGGTTGATGTTGACGTTGCAACACATGTAATTGTGCAAGATGATGGACCGAAAAGAAGGTTTGATCATGATAGCTTCTAATTATTGTATGCCGCTTGTGTAGCATGATGTCAGCATGTACGGTGACTAATTAGTTGCCATGCATATTATCCCATATATGTTAGTTCTGTGGCATGCACATGCATGGTTTTGTATGTGGTGCACTATTCCTGCACATTGGCGAACTAAATTCACTAGTACGTTATAGTTGTCATATGGTGACATCACACATATGTTACACCACGGTTTGCCGTGTGGTTGTATCTTGTATATGTACCAAAGCACTATTCGTACACATTTGGCAAACTAAATCTCTAGCTATCCCCTGCTAATGCTGCCAAAACTAATATTCACGTGATCGTTACCTAGTATCATAATGGAGGGTTTTACATGGGCAGTGACTACATTTTCTTGAGGCCTAGTTATCTTGTTGAGCATTGAAATTTTAAATCACCGACATAGTTTCCCATAAAAAGAATCACCTGACAAAATAAGCAGGTGCGTTTGACTAGTACTCCCTCCGTCCGAAAATACTTGTCACCAAAATAGATAAAAAGAGATGTATTTCGAACTAAAATACGTCTAGATACACCGCCTTTTATCCATTTTGATGACAAATATTTCTGGACGGAGGGAGTAGTAAGGTATGTGCCTCCCAAGTTTGGGCCAAGCTGCAAAATTTTGTTCTTGTGTTGGAGGCATCCTTGCATTATAAACATGTCTAGGCTAGTCGGGTTCAGGCATTATCGTACATCTCTCATAGGACACCTTTAAAATGAAAAATGGGATGGTTTGGTATAGAAAGGACAGGCTAGGTACAGATCGGACTGCTGGATTTGGTTGTGTTTGGGCAATTCGTCATGCTGACGGAACTTGTTGATTCTTGGGTACTGCATCTTGTGTAATACTCCCTCCATTCCAAAATAAGTGTTTTGGGACGGAGGGAGTAGTTGATTGTGTTTGACACAACTTCGTATGTTAAGAAACGAATGTGTTTATCCATTTGCGAAGAATCACATCTTATAGAACCTGAATGATCTGTTTCTCGTTTTTCTTGGTTTGATGTACATCATCTACTTCCTCACCAGTTTTAGTTGAACATGTGCAGCATGCTTTACATAGAGACAGCTGATCGACCAGGCTTACTCTTGGAAGTAATCAAGATCATTACTGACGTAAACGTTGATGTGGGATCAGCTGAGATTGATACTGAGGTATGCCAGTTTCTGCCTCTTTGTTATGGTAGTCACTCAGCTATGAAGGCCCTTCCTTAGGTCATGCCGGTTGTCTTATTCAGGGCTTGGTTGCCAAGGACAAGTTTCATGTGAGTTACAGAGGCGCAAAACTTAACAGCTCGTTATCTCAGGTATATACCCACACCAGGATTAGCACATTTAGTAACCTTCTTGCTCATCTCAGCAATATTGAACTCTTGATAATTCCGTTTTACAGGTGCTGGTTAATTGTTTGCGCTATTACCTCCGGAGGCCCGAGACAGATGAAGACAGCTATTGATGATTGTTCTGTGGCGGCTCGTTTCGAGTTCCTGCCTATGAAGCCTTTTGCACTGCAATTTCTGTTGTAAGCAAAACAAAATATGGCACATGTGTTCCGAAAATGCATTAAAACTGGGGCGTCTGATGCAGTTATGTTCTATGGTCGGACATGTGGCCCTTGGGAGCTTTAGCAGCCCCATCCCACTGGTTTCCTAGAGGAATCACATTGGAAAGCATTCACGCGTGTCGAGTGTGGTCTGTAAGTTCATAGTACTATAATTCATGTGCATGTAAAAAACCAGGTTACGTATGTGAAGATCTTGTCTCTCTTCATGTCATATGGTGACGGGAACTTCTAGCGCCGGCACACAAGTTTACCAGCATGCCGTGTCATTGATTTGAGGCTGCTGGTCTCGACACTATCTTCCTCCTCTGGACACGGGCTACTGTTCTATCTTCTCCATCAAGTGTGGTGCATGATTCTTCCAGACCTCCACTTTTTTTGATAGCTTCTAGAGCTTCAACTTCCTTCATGTGTGTTAGAGAAACCAGACAAATAGAAATCTTTTGCAAATCTGCCCCTCTGCCCAGTGCAGTGGGCAAAAATGTCATCCTCTAAATCTGAATCTTAGAGCAAACCTTGTTTGCTCACCAACCAGGACAAAGACTTCTCAGGCGCTTCGGTGATGCTAGTGGTTTGCTCACCAACCCATGACAGAAATTTTCCAAGACGCCGTGTGGATGATTTGCAAGATTGTCTCCCTCACTTCCCGGTGAAGATGGGCTCTTTCCCATGCACCTATTGGTACATGATCGAAGTCATTGAAGTACGAGCCGTCCCTAACTTGGCATGCGACGACAACCAATGCTCTCGCGACCGCGGCTGCGTCGGGTGAGCGCGCCGGCGGCGCTGCCTTGGTCTCCTCCCTGCAGCCTCCCCTGCGGCCGTCGGCACCGGATCTGGGAAAGAAGTCCACATCACCCCCCGGGGTTTCATAAACCGACTAATCCACCCCCTCACCTTGAAAACCGGTTAATTAACCCCCCAAGAGCTCTAATACCGGCCAAATCGCCCCCTAATCTCAATTCGGGTGGTATTGGCTGGTGGTTTTGCTTGCGTGGCTCTTCACTATTGCCACGTCGGCTTGGTAGGGGGCGCGAGGCGATATGAGCATGGGCCGCTGGCTGTTCTTAGTTCATCCAATCCCCAATCCTTCATCTCTTCCTCCTCCCCTGTTCGTCGCCATGCCTACCCGGCTGAAGCTAGATGTGCCTTGTTCTCTGGTTCCTCTCCTTCCCTGCTCGCCACCATGGCCGTCCCCTGCTCGTCGCCATGGCCGCCCCACCTCCTTAGTCCCTCCCCCCAACTCCCCAATCTCCCGTGACCTGGAGGCGCCCTGAACATGGACCGCCCTCGCCATGGTTGAACGGCATGTAGTACAGTCTCATCTCGTGAGAATTAAGTTGGGACAGTACAGGTGCAGATATGCTGAACTTTAAGCTTTTCTGAAGTCTATGCCCTGTTTTGCTTTCTTTGGGGAAAAAATACGAGTAGAATGCGTCGTTGGTTCGATTTGCTCTTTGTATTTTACTTCTCAAGGGAGACAAGGACTAGGTGTTCCCATCGATTTTGGTTACAAACTGCAGACGCAAAAGGCAAGGAGTGATTTAGCTTACATGAATCCTGTATGATACTAATAACATAGTTTATCTTCAAAAGGATAAGATAATAACAATGGTTTCATTTTCTGTTGGTGAGTGCAGGCTAGAGATCATCAGGGACTCAGGTCAAGCGCTGCAGGTGGAGTGGGGCTAGAAGCTGAACAATTTCACCAAGTCGTTCCTTGTACATGATCCGAATAGACCAAGATTTGGCAGAGCCCAAAAGTGAAGCCTGCTGAGTGCATCCGTACTTGCAGGAAAACTACACACAGAATCCTCCCAGGGGCCCAAATGGTGTACATTATACTCTTTGTAGGCATGTACTGATGCCGTGAGGAGAGAATTCAGCTTACATGAGATTGAGTATTAGTATGTGTAAAACTGTTTTTCTTCTCTTGTTGGTGTTGGTGTCCCAGTTTAGTTGAAAACTAGAGAATTCAGAGAAAGCATTTTATTTAGGGAGTGTACTTCTGAGTCTACAGACTGTTGCATATGCGCAAACATATGTTGCAGGCGCCAGTTTCAATGCGTGGTTTACACAGCGAAGGACGTGTGTGCTGGGCATGGAGGAGCTGAGCGCCTCACCTGGAGTAGTCGCGCTGCTCTCTTCAAGCGGCGATCATCACGTCTTGCGCCGCCGCCGTGACGCCATCTCGTTGAAAGGAAGGAGGGGTACGAGGCCCAAACAAACAGGAGGAGCAGTTAAGTCCGAGAGCCACCCTACCAAGCCGACGTGGCAATATTGAAGAGCCACGCAAGCAAAACCACCGGCAAATTCCACCCGAATTGAGATTAGGGGGTGATTTAGCCGGTATTAGAGCTCTTAGGGGGTTAATTAACTGGTTTTAAAGGTGAGGGGGTGGATTAGTCGGCTTCTGAAACCCCAGGGGGTGACGTGGACTTCTTTCCCGGATCTGGAATCTCCTCAGCGCCCTCTCTCTTCTCCCCCGCGAAGCTCCGCTGGGCGCTATGGCTCCTCTCTCCCAGCCCGTGGGAGCAGCCATGCCTGCATTGGAACGCTCTGGCGACAACGACCCTCCGCCCCACCAGCCCCCTACGGCGGCCGCCGCTCCAGCCCCGTCGGCCTCCCTCTCGGATCCGCGCGTCCCCCGTAGCTCGCGGCAGCCTCCACCCGCGAGCAGGTTCAGAGCGGAGAATGGGGGGCCTGCGCGGGTTCCCCGCGAGTCTCCTCCCCTGCCCGGGTCGGTGGCCACACGGCTGCCCTCCGTCTCCGGCGGCGCTTCCGGTCAGCTGCTGGAGTCCCAGGCGTTGATCCCCGAGGCTATCCTTGTTCTACCGGAGCTGGCGACGGCCCCAACGCTACCTTCGCCGCCTCAGGCGGGCCGAGTCCCTGCACCTGGCGTTGGCTTGGTGGTGGTTGTAACGCCCCGAGACCGGAGTTTCAGATGCCTTCCAGGATTTCCGAGTTTCGTTGTGTGATTTTGTTTTGTTCGTTGCATTCATCCTTGCATCATGTGCATTGCATCATGCCATCATATCATTAATTTTTAAAAACTCTTCTAAATAAATTGCATAGATCTTTTGATCTATTTAAACCGAGGGAACTCACATGGTGACTTCTCTTTATAACATATCCTCCAATATTAGGGAGCTATATTAAATATTTCATTTTTGGAATTCACCATAACACACTTGCAAAATCCCAATGCTTCTGTTGTCTTAATTCTTGATCTCCAACTTTGCCATTTATTCTTTCATCATTTTCCGGAGCTCCACCAAAAATCCGAACATTTTTGGACCTTCCCAAACCTCACTTCCTATTCAAATCATTTGAATTTAAATCAAATGAGTTTGAATTTAATCTTTCAATCATGCCTCTTTCTATTTTTCTTGGTACGAGCATATTTTTGTGAGTCCAAGGAAATTATCCCCTTGCGCATTTTCTTTCCCTAACCCTCCTTTTCTTTTCTCCTCTCTTTTTGCTTTTCTGCTAAAGTAAATATAAGAGAGAGAAGAGAGAGGTAAGCCCAGCCAGGCCAGCCCAGCGCCGCATCTTCCTCAGCCTGTTGTTCCATCGCCTCCTTGCTGCTGCCAAACGAGGCCCTGGTGTTCCTTCGTTTTGGACCGACAAGACCCGGACTCCGAACGCCAACTACCACGACATCCATGTTCGTCTACGGAACGTGTACATCTACACCGCCAAGACCGGACCGACAAGTACCCCAACGTCGCGTGTACCACTACCGTCGACCTGAACATCTACAAAAACGTGTACCACTACCGTCGACCCTCGAAGACCCCGTGAACCCCGAACATCTACGGATCATGAACGTCTACTTCCACTATCGCCGCCGCCGTGTACGACTACTTCCTCTACCGACGCCGTGTACAACTACTTCCACGATGTCCCGTGAACGCCTACTTCCTCTACACCGCTCCGAACGCGTTCCGCCCCGAATGCACGTTCCTCCTCGTTCGCCATGCCGATGAACCGTGGGAACCCGGTAACCGGGATCACCCCACCATCTCTAACATGTTCCGCACATCCGCACGCCTCCTTTTGCACCGGTATCTCCATGATTACCGGGACCGGAATGTTGCCATGGCACCATTTTTGTTTCGCCGCCGTGGCACCCTTTTTGTTCCGCCATGATGACCAAATGCTTCATAACATGCTCATGTCAACATTTTCATAAAAATGGCATAAAACTTGCATATGTCATCCGCATCATGATAATAACAATTAAAATGTTTAAACTTGTTGTTGCATTAAGCTGCTAAATGACATGGGGATTCTCCGGAATTGTTGTTTGTGTTTCCAGCCTCATTTAAACTTGCCTAAATATCTAGTTTATATTTTGCTTCACCCTCTTGCCATGCTTAACAACATTTAATATTGTTGGGTAGCTTAAACGAGAGATAACTAAATAATTGATGTGGTGTTCCGTCAACATGCACCTTGTTGCATATTGAGCTCCACTTAACTTGTAGTACTGTTTGTTGCACTTTGCCATGCCATGCCTCATTAAACCGGACATGCATCATACTTGTTTGTGCATCATGACTTGTTTATGCTTGTGTGTTTACTATGTTGTTTGTTTCTTTCCGGGTTGCTTCTCTCGTTAGCTTCGGTTTCGTTCCGGAGTTGTGAGGATTTGTTCGTCTACGACCGTTTGTCTTCTTCTTGGATTCGTTCTTCTTCCTTGCGGGATCTCAGGCAAGATGATCATACCCTCGAAATCACTACTATCTTTGCTATGCTAGTTTGCTCGCTCTTTTGCTATGACAATGCTACGATGCCTACCATTTGCTTGTCAGCCTCCCAAATTGCCATGTCAAACCTCTAACCCACCATGTCCTAGCAAACCGTTGATTGGCTATGTTACCACTTTGCTC